GGTGTGAGGAAGTGTGGCGGGCATGAGTTTGGTGGGTGTGAGGTAAAGAGGCGGCAGTGGGTATGGTCGGTGTGAGGAAATGTGGCGGCCATGAGAATGGTCGGTGTGAGGTAAAGAGGCGGCCGTGTGTATGGTCGGTGTCAGGAAATGTGGCGGCCGTGAGTGTGGTCGGTGTGAGAATTAGCATCTATTGAAAATGTATAAATAATAATCAATCGACCTGCTTGCATGCAGTGGCGTAACTAGGATTAGTGCCTCCCGGGGCGCATCAATATTTTCGTCGCCCCATTCCACGAAGAAACTCAGCAGTTGGGAATAATGCCACCCCGTCCATATAAAGAAAAAAGTGCTGCCCCTCAACACAAAAAAAGAACCATCCGGGGCGAACCGATCCCTTCTTATACTTCGTACGCCACTGAATAGCAGGCACCCTGGTTTCAGGAACGACTGTATTAAAGACACCATCAGACTCGCAACATGGAACTTCTGCAGCCCTGCCACCTAGCAACTGATTGCCCAACGTAGCTCCCCAAACTACTGACACGGCAGACATGGACATAACAGATAGACAGCTATACATTTAGGCTATTTGTGTTTCTCAAAAAATAAATATAAAACAACACTAATCTCTAGCCCAAAAGTGGACAAGTGTCGATGTGTTCTGACGTCAGCAGGAAGCGTGTCTTGTTATTGTGTTGGAGTTTCGTCTCTGAGCGCATCTATTGCACCGTGTCTTCCTAGCGCCTTGCCTTAACAACATGGGCCCCAATATAGGCATCAACGGTTTCGGCAGAATTGGTAGGATTGTTCTGAGAGCGGCACTAGCCAAGGGATTGCCAGTTCTTGCCATAAATGACCCATTCATCGACCTGGAGTACATGGTGTACATGTTCAAGTAAGTCAACGCACCAACGATTGAGCATATTGGTAGATCATTTACTACATGTTGATTTAGATGTACCATCTGTGCCTAAATTGCAAGAGGCTTGGACGGCAATGAAAGGCACCAGTCAAAACGCTTGCATTCGTATTTTGTCGTATGATAAGGAAAGCTTCTATTATATAATTTACCTCTTTATTTACACAAATTGTTTGTATCTCATCAACCTCAAGTGTGGTATGTTTCATAACAATTATATATCACTTAAACTTATATTGAACACATTTCTTCCTAAATCACACTTCTTAAGTTAATTCCGCGACACTTTGGTCACATTAATCCAATAGGTCATATAAAGCCCATCATTACTATTAATCTCATTTGTCATATAAAGCCCAAGAGTCACATTAATATCATTTATCATATAAAACCCATCAGTCACGTTAATTCCATTGGTCCCAATATCCCATTGGTCAATGCACATACCCCATTTCCCATTGGTCAATGCATGTTCCCCATATCCCATTCGTCAAGGCATATACCACATTTCCCATTGGTCATGCACACTCCACATATCACATTGAACAAATCACTTTCTCATATCCCATTTGTCAAGCTTATTAGCCATATCCAATTGACCAAAGTCAAATCACATTTATTTCCATACCCCCTTGGAAAAAGCACATTCCCCATATCCCATTGGACAAAGCACATGCCCCATTTCCCATTGGTCAAGCTTATTATCCATATCCAAATGACACACAATCCAATCACAATCCCCATATCCCATTGGACAAATCACATTCCCAGATCCCATTGGTCAACCTTATTACCCATATCCAAATGACACACAGTCCAATCACATTCCCCACATCACTGGTACCTTTCAGGTACGATTCCACGCATGGAACTTTCAACGGAGAAGTTTCAGCGTCAGACGGAAAACTTGTGGTCAATGGCCGTGAGATTAAAGTGTCCAACGAAAAGGATCCCAGCAGTATCCCATGGGGTCAGTGGGGTGTGGATTACGTGGTGGAGTCGACTGGCGTTTTCACAACCATTGACAAAGCAAAGGCTCACATCGAGGTAGCCCTTTCTCAATCCTTCATCGGCATTTGATTTTTATCAAGAGCGTTTCATTTAAGATATGTGCGTCTGTTATTATAGAGACCACCTGAACATACATATCATATGTAGTAAATCACAAATATGTGAGAAACGTATAGTTTAAAATTTATACCAATTGATATCACAGACTGTATTCCTAAACAGACATGATAGTAAAGCTATATTGTACTTCTTTAATTCAACCATTGCAACAGGACAACAGTATATAAAAGAAAATTATTCAACAATCGCAACAATATGACACCAATGTTCAACGTTAAACAAACTTTAATGTTCCACCATTCAACATTCGTATATCGTTATGACACCAATGTTCAACGTTAAACAAATGTTCCAACATTCAACATTCGTCTATCGTTATGACACCAATGTTCAACGTTAAACAAATGTTCCACCATTCAACATTCGTATATCATTATGACACCAATGTTCAACGTTAAACAAATGTTCCAACATTCAACATTAGTATATCGTTATGACACCAATGTTCAACGTTAAACAAATGTTCCAACATTCAACATTCGTCTATCGTTATGACACCAATGTTCAACGTTAAACAAATGTTCCAACATTCAACATTCGTCTATCGTTATGACACCAATGTTCAACGTTAAACAAATGTTCCAACATTCAACATTCGTATATCGTTATGACACCAATGTTCAACGTTAAACAAATGTTCCAACATTCAACATTCGTCTATCGTTATGACACCAATGTTCAACGTTAAACAAATGTTCCACCATTCAACATTCGTCTATCGTTATGACACCAATGTTCAACGTTAAACAAATGTTCCACTTTAGGGGGGAGCAAAGAAAGTCATCATCTCGGCTCCATCGGCGGATGCTCCGATGTTCGTGATGGGGGTGAATCACACCAAGTACACCTCCGACTTGGTGGTAGTGAGCAACGCCTCTTGCACCACCAACTGCCTGGCGCCCCTAGCTAAAGTTATTCATGACAATTTCGGTATTGTGGAAGGTCAGTAACTCTCTCACTCTCCCTTTCCCTGCGCGGTCTCTCTTTCTCTCTCTCTTTGTGTGTTTTTCTCTCTCTCCCTTTCCCTGCTCTGTCTCTCTTGGTGTGTGTCTCTCTCGCCCCCCTCTCTCTCTCTCCCTTCTCTATTTCTATGTGTTTTCTCTCTCCTTATGTGTTTCTCTCTCCCTTCTGTGTCTCTCTCTCCCTTCTCCCTCTCTTTCTCCGTGTGTGTATCTCTCACCCTTTATCTCTAATTTAATTACCCCCCCCCCCATCTCTATTTTACTTAGTCTACCCTCCCCCCATGTACCTTGTTCTGTAACAGTGTCCCCCCCCCCTTTTTTTTTCTCTCTTTATGTACAATTTCATTGTTTTATTTTGACCACTCGACACTAAAATTTGATGTTTATACTATGAGATGACTCTATGCAAGCGGTTCTCAACATGTGGATCGCGACCCCTTTGGTGGTCGAACGACCCTTCTACAGGGCTCGCCTCAGACCAACGGACAACATATTTACGAAGGAGCGATGAAAATATTTTTATTTTATGGCTCCACAACATTCGGAGCCATATTACAAAGTCTCGGCATTAGGAAGGTTGAGAACCACTGCTCAATTTATTCAAATAGTCTTTTCTTTTTCTACATCTGACTATACCACTGCTCCATTACATGGCCTTTCAGGCTCACAGGCCATCTTTGCCCGACTAGGTTCATAGCTCATTAAATACATACACTATGTATAGAGTCATAGGCCATCTATCGCCCAGTTTTACAGGCTGTCTATTTCCACACGATGTTGCTAGGCCGTCTATTCAAGCACTAGGTTCATAAGGCATCTACTCCCACACTTTATAAAATAATTTCATAGGCCATTAATAAATTCTCTATAAGGTTAATAATCCATCTATTCCTCATTAGCTGTATCTTTCACAAACGTATTTCTGAATCTATATCTAAAACATTTTAACACAGGAACACATTGCGATTGTGTCCAGTGCTAAAGAAATGGAAATTTCACTAGCAACTATCTTGTTCTTTTGCGGGAAAAGCACGGGGGTTAGTGGTGTTGCCTCACAAGGAAACAGCTTTAGAGCGAATCAGATTTACAAGGAAACAGCTTTACAGCGAATCAGATTTACAAGGAAACAGCTTTACATTGAATCAGCTTTACAGCGAATCAGGGTTACAAGGAACCAGCTTTACAGCGAATCAGCTTTACAAGGCAACAGCTTTACAGCGAATCAGCTTTACAAGGCAACAGCTGTAGAGCGAATCAGCTTTACAAGGAACCAGCCTAACTTATGTATCCCACCAAGCAGATGACACCCAAGGACGCCATCTTGGTACGATTGTCTCTAATACTATAATGAAATGATCATGTGAATGTCTACTACTTTCGTCGCAGGTTTGATGACGACTGTTCACGCCACGACAGCCACCCAGAAAACTGTGGATGGACCAAGTGCCAAGGACTGGCGAGGAGGTTGGTCACATAGTTTAGTTCAAAGAGCTCTACCACTTCAAATACATTGACAGCTGGATCAAATCTTTGTTAAGTTCATTTGACCTAATCGTCCCCCTAGAATAACAATGTCCTAAGTTGATTGGATTAAATAGTCACACATAGAACATTGTTATGCTAAGGGGACGTAGTGTTAAAGTTGATTTGCCATAATGTTAAGTTTGATGAGCCATGACGGTTCAAGTTCACATCATTAAAGTTGTTGAGCTACTGTCCACCACAGGTCGAGGGGCGGGACAAAATATCATCCCATCATCCACGGGTGCAGCCAAGGCCGTGGGTAAAGTGATCCCCGAGCTGGATGGCAAACTGACAGGGATGGCCTTTAGGGTGCCGACCCCCAACGTATCCGTCGTGGATCTCACTGTCAGACTAGAGAAAGGTGAGTTACCAGTCATTGACTGTTAAGCCAGCTACTAGGGGTTACTCATTACAATGCGCCAATCATTCAAAATATTCCATGGATTTAGTAAATACAATAGATCAAATGAAGATACTTAAAATTGGGAAATGTGAAATGAAAATGTGTTTCTAAGATGTCGATTTTTTTTATCAACGTAACTCAAAGTTTTATCAAACAATAGTCATAGCTGAAACATAAAATAAAGTAATATCAACCGTAAAATTAATTGGATGTTTCTTGAAAGAAAATTCCACTACAACAGACTACAACAGACACAGCTACTGGAAGAAGGACTGGTTTTTTACGGTTGTCCTGATGCAGGACGTCAGAGTGGCACATTTTTTTTTTACTCTGTTCGCAATGTACCATGTAAGGATGACTGATAAAACCGACCATGACCTATGTCGTATGGGAATCAACATAATGATAATGTTGTTATATCTCAGGAGCTGATTACGAGTTGATCAAGAGCCTCATCAAAGCCTCATCGGAGGGTGACATGAAAGGCATCATTGGATATACAGAGGACGACATTGTGTCTACGGACGTGTGTGGGGAGACATACAGGTAAAACTTCTGTGGGGAGGCTTACAAGTAAAACCTGTGTGTGTGGAGACATACAGGAAAAACTTCTGTCGGTAGCCTTAAAACTTGTGTGTGTAGAGAAATAAAGGTAAAACTTCTGTGGGGAGATTTACAGGTAAATCTTATGTGGGGATATTATAGGTAAACCTTATTTGGGGAGACTTACAGGTAAAGCTTGTAGGGAGACACAGGTAAACAATACGTGGGAAGATTTACTTTGAAATCTATGTGGGGAGATTTACAGGTAAATAACCTGTGTGGCGATTTACAGGTAAAAATGTTATGTGGGGATACTTACATCCTACTTAACTTACAGGTAAAACTTCTATGGGGAGAAATACGGGTAAAACCTCTATGGGGATAACTACATAGGTAAACTTGAGGAGGTGAGAATTACAGGCAAAATTTCTATAGGAAGATTTACAGGTAAAAATTCTATGAGTAAACTTGGGTAAAAGCTATGGGGAGTTTTACAGGTAAAACTTCGGTGGCGCGCTTTCAGGTAAAACATATATGAGGAGTGTTTTTGGGAGGATAATTCCATTGAAAAAGTCTGGGGGAAGGTTTAATTTTCAGAAAGGAAGACATTTCGGGGAAGCTTTCTTAGCTTTTAAAGAAACCCAAAACGTAAGGTTAAAAAGAATCATAAAATAAACTAAAAACTTAGCACGTCAAATGTCAGACGGTATGAAAAAGAAATGTTGTTCAAGCTCTAGTCAACGGTGAGGACGCAGGTGGCATGCTAGTGCAATTTATGTCTGGAAAGCTTTCCCGCACGAAGGACACACGTTGTTTTGGTCGTAGTTGGATTGAAGTCCATTCTGCTTTTCCTTGCCGTGCGCTTTCTTCGGGTACGTTTACTCTCCGAGGATTGTGCTCCAACAGTGAATTTGCCTCGCCAGCTTGTACGATCCATAGCAAGAATTCTCAACGAATTAAGGTCGATGTTCATGGATCTGTGTGAAGCTCAGAGACATTCTTTAACGCGTTTTTTTTTTGTTGTGTGCCCACCAGCTGAACGTTGCCCTATGGAGAGTTCACCGAAAATTATTTGTTTAGAAAATCTGCTGTCTGGAATTCTCACAACATGTCTGCCAATCGGGCTGGTCCCTTTTTAGGACCGGATGGATGGTCATAAAGTCGGCCCATTGTAGGACCTCTGTATAAGACACATTGTCCCGCAGCCTATTGCCAAGAATTGTACGTAGCCATGCAGCGTAGGTGGAGACGTTTTTTTGTGTCTAGCATGTCTGTTGTACACTGTCCACGTCTTTCTAGCGTATAGGAGAGATGTAAATACGATTGCCCTCCATACTTTCAGCTTAGTGACAAGACTAAGACCCATCGCTCCCAGACACTCTTGCGGAGCCTTCCACTTCCATGTGAAACATTTGCTTTGGAAATTCGGTTGTTGAGCTCATCATCTATTGTTATCGCTTTGTAGAGCATGTTAGCACAAATATGTGATTTTTTACACTGCTTTGAGATTCTGTCCATCACTGATATGTTAGGTTCTTAATAAGCTTTTCCTGGAGCTAGCTGGTGCATAATCTCTGGGGTTTTCCGTCTTGATGGCGAGGCTGTAGGTGTCTCAGGCCTTAGCAAAGCGGTCAAGGTATTTGCTTGCATTTAGGACGCAGTCATCAGCAAATAAGAGGTCTCGAATAACTGCCTCTTTAACTTTCGGAAAAGAAAGTACTGTTATATCTTAACTTCTTCTTCTATAAATATTAAGGGCCCACGATCAATGTATTGATCATTCTGGCTCCTACGTATATAGAGGGGAATATATTTTGTTTCAGTTCCATACCAAGGCTGGGATAAGTCTAAAGGATAATGTTTTCTGTTTCAGTTCCCTTTTCGATGCCAAGGCTGGGATAAGTCTAAATGATACTGTATTTTGTTTCAGTTACCTGTTCGATGCCAAGCCCGGGATAAGTCTGAATGATACTGTATTTTGTTTCAGTTCTATGTTCGATGCCAAGGCTGGGATAAGTCTAAATGATCATGTATTCTGTTTCAGCTCCTTGTTCGATGCCAAGGCTGAGATAAGTCTAAATGATCATGTATTCTGTTTCAGTTCCCTGTTCCATGCCAAGGCTGGGATAAGTTTAAATGATCATGCATTCTGTTTCAGTTCCCTGTTCGATGCCAAGGCTGGGATAAGTCTGAATGATAATTTTGTCAAGCTGATCAGTTGGTACGACAACGAGATGGGCTACAGCACTAGACTGGTGGAGCTGATTGCTTATATGAACACAGTGGACAATTAGTGGTGGTTGTAAACTGATGGTCAAGGGATTATCCAGCGATGACCAATGTGATGGTCAGGGCATGGTCCAGTCTTTGTCAAGTAATGGTGGGATGGTATAGATCAGATCTTTGGAAACAACTAGTCGGCCAGTAGTAGATGTTTAGGTGACGCTTAAAATTAAGGACATGTTGGTTTACACAAATTGGCCATCCGAATAATGGCACACTCGATTTTTAGTGTTACTATGGCAAAAGACATTCCTAAGAACATGACTCTGGTAGTGTGGTGGTCGTGGTTTTTTTCATTTCAGCATGGGAGTGGTAAGCACGGTCGTGACTACCTACCATTAAAGTAGATAAGTGTGCAAGTAATGTATCATGATACCAGTCAATATTGCATTCTGAAACTTCTAAAACTTAAAGGGTTATCGACAAAAACAGAGACATACTATTTGTATATACAATGCTCGTGGGATGAAGTGGTTTGATCAACTTCGCGTTTTCCATCAGATGATTTCTCCAAAGTGCTGTAGAGTGGGCGTAGGAATATTGACAATGAAATGGCAATGAATGAACCAAGAAGTCTGATTAAATACATTTTCCATTTGACATCCTCAAGTGTTTAATATACCTGTATACACCAAATGTTTGATATACCCGTATACACTTGCTAATAAAAGAGGAACATTTTAGTACTACGTTATTTTGATGTCTTTGACATTAAATCTTTTCACAGTAAAAAAAAATGCTTTTGTCTCATTATTACCTTTATATATACTAAAATGTTTGAGTCAAAAGAAAAAAAAAAAAAGAAAAAAAACCCAAACAATTACCCATTATGTTAATTCCTGGCTAATGCCATCAAGATAATAAAAGAGGAACATTTTAGTACTAAGTTATTTTGATTTCTTTGAAATTAAATCTTTTCACAGTAAAAAAAAATGCTTTTGTCTCATTATTACCTTTAAATAAACAAAAATGTTTGAGTAAAAAAAAAAAAAAAAAAAGAAAAAAAACCCAAACAATTACCCATTATGTTAATTCCTGGCTAATGCCATCAAGGGGCAATGGTGTGTTCAGAGAGAGTACATCGTTGGAAAAAAAAAAAACCCATCTCATTTCCTACTTTGTTTATTCTTTCAATGCCAATAACCAATTATCTATCTTTCTTTCACTATGTCATGTCTATGAAAATGGTCTCGGCGTCGCTGTAATTCTCTAAAAGCTCGAGTCTGAATTTTTCCCAAAATGAGTTGTTTTTTTCTTCAAATTTCTTCAGATCTAAAGGTTTCCTATCAAGTCACATATATTTATTTTTTTTTTACATTCCATTAGTGGAAAGTACTTTTTTCTTTAATGTGTTGTAACCAAATATTTTTACATTTCTTTTAAAGTTATTAGTGTTTTGAAGAGTGACAGCGACGTAGTAGATAGCTACAATTTAGATGTGTTGTCATTGAGATGCATGAGAGTAATGAGACCGCATATCTATGTGTTGTCATTGAGACGTATGAGAGTAATGAGACCACATGCCTATGTGTTGTCATTGAGATGCATGAGAGTAATGAGACCACATGCCTATGAGTTGTCATTGAGACGTATGAGAGTAATGAGACCACATGCCGATGTGTTGTCATTGAGACGTATGAGAAATATGAGACCACATGCCTATGTGTTGTCATTGAGACGTATGAGAAATATGAGACCACATGCCTATGTGTTGTCATTGAGACGTATGAGAGTAATGAGACCGTATGCGTATGGTCGTCTAAGCATGAAACCGGCGCTGCTCTCTGTGCAGGAAACTCACCACCTGAGTTGTTTAATTAAATGGTTTTATTATTAGCCACACCATTGTCTGGGAATTTGTCTGACAGTTCTCTCAAAACAACCTGGAAAACGTCTGCCACGGTATACGAGCAAATAATTGCAGACGCATGAAAGGAGTTCCAGGTGAGTGGTTTAAGGAAGGTCACGCCTGGTCACGGCAGACCAGCACGCGGCGTGAACGCAGGGGCAGGGGAGCAGGGGAGCGTCTCCCTTCTTAGAAGTGGACAGGTACCAGCGTGACCAGCGTGACAGGGTCAATCGGTTCATCTTTGGACGGGACTGTCCATACATAAAAACGGACTAGCATTGAGTAGCAGGGACTTTGGGCTCAGATCTGCATAGCTTGCTCGGGTGTGTCCATCTTAGCTGGTGTGAGACTAAAAGTGTTATCGGCTAACAACAACTTAAAGTTAAAGTTGAGAAATACAACTTGAAAAGAGCATATGGGGAATACATGGGGAATTTAAGAGGCGTGGCCTCTTTATCCCCAAATTGAATAATTTAAATGAAATGTTTCATCTAAGCTCCATATTTTTTAAATTTATTTTCATCTAATGCAAGGGAGGTTGACAGTTTCTAAGAAGACACGTTGCAAAATATTATGTACTAGCACTAGTACAAGACTTTTTTCTGCAATCGATTCAAATGTTAACTAAGGTTAGGAATTTCATAACTAAGAATGGGATATTTCAGGGCACATTCCAATCACATTGTTAAATAAGAGAGACGTTGTCAAGCGCGTGAGACTCTTTCTACTTGGTAGTGTAAACATTAGCCAGCCATTTTTTTTTTTTTTGGGGGGGGGGGGGTAAAAATATCATTCATTCCAACCTTCAAAACCATATTACATTTAGGACAATGAAGGGAGAGGATCTAACTTGTTGACCGCGGACATATGGGTGATTAGTTGGTAAAGGTATTTGGTATACTCATTGACCCTGATATTTTCGAAAACATGATTGATATGGTGAGCTATGTGTGCTGAAGCTAAAAGGGCTTGTTCCTTTCAACACAACTTCTCTTTTGTCACAGAGCTTCGACCGAATGCTCTGTTAGTCATCGGATCGTAAGATTTTCGTTGGCAACAGATATCAGGCATATAACCTTGTCTAGACGTCATCTGCAGGACGTAAATATAAAAATCGATTCAAAGTATATGTATTTAATTTCTTATTTCCAAATAACTCAGTACAAACGCCCCTGGCTTGAAAAAGACTCATACTCATACAGTCTGATGACATTTAAAAAAAAATTGTTTAAAAAAAAATGAGCACAACCCTCCCCTCAACCCCCCCACCCCCCACGCCCTTTCTTCTCCACCTCTCCCTCGCCAATTGTAATTTCCGGCCAAAAACGTCACCACCTAGCCCACTATGAAGGAAACATCGCGCCTGTCACTGAGTACGTCCTTACAAATGGACCGCTCGGACCCGGTACCTGTGCTGTCATGGACCGCTCGGACCCGGTACCGGTGCTGTCAATCATGTTAACAAACCGGTGAAATCTATCTCAATGGCGAACTGTTGGGCTAATTGTTACTAAACTGTTTCAAGTGCCATTTTCCCATTCAGTCGTCTGCTCCCCAGGCACGACATGCTACCTACCCCCCCCCCCCCCCACCCCCCCCCCCCCCAGTGAAATCTATCTCAATGGCGAACTGTTGGGCTAATTGTTACTAAACTGTTTCAAGTGCCATTTTCCCATTCAGTCGTCTGCTCCCCAGGCACGACATGCTACCTACCCCCCACCCCCGCAAGACCCCACACTCCCATGGACCTCAAGCGTTCATTGAGGGGCCGTTGACTTCTTTGATATCGGGGAGCCAAAGATTTTAGGCTGAGGAAGGACAAATAAGGGGAGGGTGATCTGTTTGGAGCGCCTTTTTTGTGTCTCCCAAATGTAGCCAAATAAAATTGATTTTAAATGGAATTTGTGTGCATATGCCGATTAAAAGAAAGTTGTGATTAACAAAGTCCGGATGACGAATAGTGATGTTTTTTAATCCCCCCTCCCCCCCGGAAAAAAAAACCGAACAATTTAAAAAATTAAAAAATACTACAAGACTATATTACGAGAACAGATGAAACCATTCAAACTAGAAACCACCCTTTTAACAAAATTAAATTCATTCAAATACCTAGGAGCATTGTTAAATAAAAGAAATGAATTACTAACAGACATAAAAGAAAGAATACCAACCGGCAACAGGGCATAACTTCAGTGGTCAGAAAATACTCAGAAGTAAAATCATGACAAGAAAAACAAGGAAAACTATAATATATATAAAACTATAATCAGACAAGTTGTAACATACGCAAGTGAAACTTAGACCCTAACCAAAACAGCAGAAAACCTATTAATAACATGGGAGTAAAAGTTCTCCGGAAAATATATGGATTAACAACAAAGGATAAATATGGATGGAGAATACGAACAAACTAGGAGTTGTATAGCCTATATCAGGATCCGCAGACTAGAAAAAGAAATGCGGGCTACGCTGGGCGGGACACTTAGAAAGTATGCCAAATGACAGAGGAGTGAAGAGGGTGCATCACCAATACCCCAGAGGAAAACAGCTCAAAGGCAGAACCAGGCTTAGATGGGTGGATGATGTGGCAAAAGATCTACATCAGCTGGGAATCCAAGCATAGATAAGAAAATCATCAGTTAGGTCTGAGTGGAAGGAAGTGGAGACGCGGGCAACAGACCAATCAAAACATGGGCTGCAGCGCCGAAGGGAATGGATGGATGTTATTCAAATTTATTATCGAAGGGTGAGTGGTATTGGCAAACAAAATGTCTTTTTATTTAACGGCATAAAAATAGTTATGTAAGATATTTATTGATATGTATTTTAATTTATTTTATGCAACAGTTCAGAATCATGTGAAGACATTCTATTTTTGTTTCTTTTTGTTTGTTTGTTAATGTTTCTTAAAACCCAATTTTACAAAATCAGCATATTTAATAATATTTCCATTGACTTCATTTCGGCGATGTGTGTATGTGTATGCCACAGGGTGTATGCAATGTTATCATTAGTTTCAAAGGGTGTGCTAAAAAACCAAATGAGTTTTTAAAAAATTGGATAAGGTTGCAAAAGTCCCTGAAGGCATGGACATGTTTTTATTAATGGCATACCGGTACGACGCCCCGACTGGGAGTTAAGGAGGCAACTAATACATATAGGACGCATGGACTGGGAGTTAAGAAGGCAACTAATACCGGTACGACGCCGGGACTGGGAGTTAAGGAGGCAACTAATACCGGTACGACACCGGGACTGGGAGTTAAGAAGGCAACTAATACCGGTATGACGCCGGGACTGGGAGTTAAGGAGGCAACTAATACCGGTACGACGCCCGGACCGGGAGTTAAGGAGGCTACTAATACCGGTACGACGCCCGGACTGGGAGTTAAGGAGGCAACTAATACCGGTTCAAGGCGTGAACTGGGGAGTTAACGAGGCAACTAATACCAGTACGACGCCCGGACTGGGAGTTAAGGAGGCAACTAAAACCAGTACGACGCCCAGACTGGGAGTTAAGGAGGCAACAAATACCGGTACGACGTCGGGACTGGAACTTAAGGAGGGAACTAATACCAGTACGATGCCCGGACTGGGAGTTAAGGAGGGAACTTATACCGGTACGACGCCCGGACTGGGAGTTAACGAGGCAACTAATACCGGTACAAGGCATGAACTGAGGAGTTAAGGAGGCAACTAATACCAGTACGACGCCCGGACTGGGAGTAAATTAGGCAACTAATACAGGTGCGACGCCTGGACTGGGAGTTAAGGAGGCAACTAATACCGGTACGACGCCCGGACTGGGAGTTAAGGAGGCAACTAATATCGGTACGACGCATGGACTGGGAGCTAAGGGGGCAACTAATACCGGTACGACGCCCGGACTGGGAGTTAAGGGGGCAACTAATACCGGTACGACGCCGGACTGGGAGTTAAGGGGGCAACTAATACCGGTACAAGGCATGAACTGAGGAGTTAAGGAGGCAACTAATACCAGTACGACGCCCGGACTGGGAGTAAATGAGGCAACTAATACAGGTGCGACGCCTGGACTGGGAGTTAAGGAGGCAACTAATACCGGTACGACGCCCGGACTGGGAGATAAGGAGGCAACTAATACCGGTACGACGCCGGACTGGGAGTTAAGGGGGCAACTAATACCGGTACGACGCCCGGACTGGGAGTTAAGGGGGCAACTAATACCGGTACGACGCCCGGACTGGGAGTTAAGGAGGCAACTAATACCGGTACGACGCCCGGACTGGGAGTTAAGGAGGCAACTAATACCGGTACTACGCCCGGACTGGGAGTTAAGGGGGCAACTAATACCGGTACGACGCCCGGTCTGGGAGTTAAGGAGGCAACTAATACCGGTACGACGCCCGGACTGGGAGTTAAGGAGGCAACTAATACCGTTACGACGCCCGGACTGGGGGTTAAGGAGGCAACTAATACCGGTACGACGCGCGGACTGAGTGTTAAGGAGGCAACTAATACCGGTACGACTCCCGGATTGGGAGTTCAGGAGGTAACTAATACCGTTACGACGCCCGGACTGGGGGTTAAGGAGGCAACTAATACCGGTGCGACGCGCGGACTGAGTGTTAAGGAGGCAACTAATACCGGTACGACGCCCGGATTGGGAGTTAATGCGGCAATTAAAGAGGATTTAAAATGAAGAGTAAAGACATGTCTTCCCCACATAGGCTCTACCCGTTCAGATAGTAATGGAAGTTATAGAAGAGTTCATACGATATCATACCACACATATGCCTTACTTACTCGAACTCCAATCTTTTAAGGCTGTTAGGAACAAGGGAGGTAATGCACTATTTCAGAAAATTCCATGAAATCTTTCAATTAATTCCCACTACACATGTTCATTAGAAGGAAGAGGGGAAAAAAAGCGAAATTCTCATACCAATCTAGGAAGATAACAATATTTTTTTTTTAAATGTTGAAAAGTTTGATATAATTATTATTATTTTAATAATTTTTTAAAATTATTTTAAAAACAAAACAATAATGACGTCACACTATTTTGGCCGATTTTCTTTACTCTCCATCCCTTTTGGCACTTTTATTAGACTTGCCCATAGGTTTGACAATAGGGTAGCCAACAGGACTGCCAACAAGGTTGCCAAGAGGGTTGCCAATAGAGTCGCCAACAGGGTTGTCAATAGAGTCGCCAATAGGGTTGCCAATAGGGTTGCCAATAGATTCGCCAATAGAGTTGCCAATAGAGTCGCCAATAGGGTTGCCAATAGAGTCGCAAATAGAGTTGCCAATAGTGTCGCCAATAGTGTCGCCAATAGGGTTGCCTATAGAGTCGCCAATAGGGTTGCCAATAGAGTCGCCAATAGAGTTGCCAATAGAGTCGCCAATAGGGTTGCCAATAGATTCGCCAATAGGGTTGCCAATAGAGTCGGCAATAGGTTTACCAATAGCGTTTCTCTCCGAGGATTCTGAGATCCGACACTATTTTGAGTAACCCAAAGACTTCCCGGGGCACGGTTCATGTACCGTGTCCACACTTTTAGAAGACCATTTTCTTGTTTGTGTGACAGATTGTCACAAATAGTCGCTATAAGCCAGGCCCTGGAATAAATATCTCGTTAACCGCGCATAATAAATGCGCATTTGGTAATATTTTCTTATTTAAATGAATTCTTTCTTTTTTTTTTAAAACTTGGTAAAGAGAAACCCTGGTTTTGAACCGCTTGAAACAGAAACATGACACATGGTCTCAAGGACAGACATCTTAAGGTCATGGGACAATAATTGAGGCCAGCGAAACACGCGTATATCAGCCGAGTTTAACAAGGAATAAAAAAAAAAGTAATTGAAACTTGACTTTTTCAGACTGCCTTATTTCATAGAATAACATGAACAACTTTGTGAACACTTTATCATAATTCAGACAGTTTTAGCTTTTAGAAACACTGACTTACCCACATTTTGTTCTTTCATTCTGTGACCGTTGTTTTATCGCACACTGTCATGTTTCTTGAGTTTCCTGGCGTCTGATGGTCATGCATTCTTGCGCACCTGCAACATGCTCGTGCGGGCAAGGGTGGTTTTGACAGGCGGATTTAGAGCTTTGAAATAGTAGACACCGTCTACACTGCCCCCATCTGCTCACGTAGAAGACACCGTCTGCACTGCCCCCATCTGCTCACGTGGTAGACACCGTCTACACTGCCCCCATCTGCTCACGTAGAAGACACCGTCTACACTGTTCCCATCTGCTCACGTAGAAGACACCGTCTACACTGCCATCTGCTCACGTGGGACACTGATGAAAGAAGGGGCCAAATATATACATGTCTTTTCTTCTTTTGTCCACTTTTATTGGGGAGGCCTCGCGGGGACGTATAGCTGACGGATAGCCACACGGTGTGAGGCATGCTGAAGGTTCATGGTGTGCATTTTCATAGTGTACTGTACACGGTCTGTCTATCCACGCACGCCGTGGTCTTCCCCTGGACCTGAGACCGGAGTGCATGCTATTGTAAAACCTAGCTGCCATGTCTTTTTGCCTGTTTGTTTTTTACAATTATGTTCAATTCACTTCCTTTCCACTCCTCTTTACTTTGTTTGTGACTGGTTTTAGCGCCCTCTCCTATTTTCTTTTTTAGGTAGGATATGTATATTTTTATTATGTAAATTTAATTTATACTTATTTAAATGTGTTTTGTTTGTTTGTACTGATGAAGGCATGTGCCGAAACGTTTAATTGTGTATGATGTATAATTATTATTAAAGCGTAACTTACATTGTTATATAGACACAATTTGTTCGTGTCTTATTAATCTATTGTAAAGCTTTATTGCAGTCCAACACTATATAATATTATTAGTTATTGTACAACTGCAGATTGATTGACGGGCATTCTGACCAGGTGATCAAACCAATTCATTTTCTGTTGAGACATATACTGGAGGATTGGGATCGGTCTTATTTGCTGGTTCCGAATGATCTCCCTTCTTGTTAGTTGCTCGCCTTCAACATCCCATTTCGCAAGTGAATGTTTGTCTCTGGAGCCAGAGACTTTGTTTGACGCTGAGGTAAGGGTTGGAATAAAGACAGGGTACATTTATTATTTAGACTAATGGTATTTTCTTTTGATCACAATGCAACAAAGTCACCAACGCTACCTGATGGCGCTGAATTCACTAAGCATAACAAATAACTGCGCTCAATGAGACTCTTAAAAATATGGCAGAGCGTTTGGCGCCTAATACTTGCTTTTGTTCTATGGAACTCGTCTCCTATCTGGTGCTGTCAATCTGCGGGGCTGGTGTTCATGTAGTCAAGATCGTTGGGGGGGGGGGGGGGAGTGTGTTTTGCTAAACGAGGGGGGGGGGGGAAGCACTATTTGAGAATCGTCTAAAGTGTGTTACTTGAATAGATGTTTTGTCAAGTAACTTGAGTAGATGGGAAGTAACTTGAGTAGATGGGAAGTAACTTGAGTAGATGGGAAGTAACTTGAGTAGATGGGAAGTAACTTGAGTAGATGGGAAGTAACTTGAGTAGATGGGAAGTAACTTGAGTAGATAGGAAGTAACTTGAGTAGATGGGAAGTAACTTGAGTAGATGGGAAGTACCTTGAGTAGATGGGAAGTTAGCGCCATTGTCTGGCGGGCTATTAGATATTATTTAAATAAATTCATCTCCCATTCAATATGCCACTAGTAGGGGCATTTAAAGCACATGAAATGACGTCATGATATTTTGTTCTCGGTGACAGGAAGTATCGCTTTCCTTCAGAATGGCAGCTTAAAACAAGACAAGAATTATGCACTAGCACGTCCCGAGTCTGCAAACATTCATGTTTAGATGCAACGAATGATTCACATTGTCTTGAGCGGTCAATAAAGATGCTGATGGGAACAACAGCAACAAATATGGAAATGTTGAGCTATATTCATAGATAATTCATTCAATCTAGTTTTCGCTCATAATAATAGACTACCTGTTCTTTCTACGTAAGAGGTTGTTGTTTGTAATATGATTTATTTAAAATAATAATTTCTGAATGCTTCTTCTAGTTGGTAACATTCTAAGCATTTCAACTTACACACATTGGTCAATGCAAAGAAATGATGCCATGAAGTCATTTTCGAGATTATTTAACTGGCTGTGACTTCACGGGTCGCGTCAACCAAGATGGCGGCCATGGAGAAAAGCATGGCATCCATGCTTTGCATTTACCATCAGTTTTATATTGTATTCAGTTTCTTACGCCTAAGAAGATGTATTTTAGAAGCCCCCCCCAACCCCCTCCCCTTTTCCCACACCTGCCCCAATAAACTAACAATGAATCAAATGTTTATCTAACTGTATCTAACTAGTGAATGTAAAATATTTGAAAGCAAGGTGCAGGTCTGAGTTCGATGGATGAGGCTCACGAGTCGTTCACAAAGAGAAAGAAGCAGGAGAAGACAACTGCAGATGATCCCCGTTGGAAGAGACCGGATGCAAACCTCCTACATTACATGTCGAAACTCAAAGAGCAATACCTGCAGGTGGGGCTTATAATATGGTCATGTGATATCTGTTAGCAAACCCTGCAAGTATGCGCACCCCAAGGCCAGGGACAATCAGCAATACCTGCAATTAGGTCAACCGTCTTCAGGTGATATCACCATTTACCAGTGCCTTGATGCCATTGTTTTGTCGGCCAAACAAGGCACAGATTTTTGGGGGAGGAAAGCCAGAAGAGGCAAATTCTCCCTAAAACATTCGTACTACTTCCAGCTTACAGTTCCGACACTGGTCTTACTTACATTGAGTTCTAGTGTTAACGCTAGTTCGATTACTGCTGTTAACTGGAGCTCGACATCCAAATAAAGAACATTAGGAACAAACATCAATCAAAAAGAAACTAAGAAATAAAAACAAACTCATAACAAAAAAACAACAACCAATAAGTTTGAACGTTAAGCAAAAGGGTAGATTCAACTCACATCAACTTTTTTTTATCAGGGGTCGGGTTCACTGTCCCTCAGGCACTGTTGGGGGGCTGGACTATGGAAAGAAAATAAGGAACGAATTGAGATCAAAACTGCACATACCTTTCTGGTCGTTTGGTTTTTTGTTTTTTTTTTAGTAGGGGGGGGGGGGGGGGCGACAGATTAAAAAATATTTCACCTTAAGAACAATATTAACAAAGAAAAATTGTAGGTTGCGTTAATGTGATACTCAATGGCCGGTTGCATCCATATCTGAGACTGCCACACGGGTACCAGTCAATGGCCGGTTGCATCCATATCTGAGACTGCTACACGGGTACCAGTCAATGGCCGGTTGCATCCATATCTGAGACTGCTACACGGGTACCAGTCAATGGCCGGTTGCATCAAAATCTGAGACTGCTACACGGGTACCAGTCAATGGCCGGTTGCATCCATATCTGAGACTGCTATACGGGTTCCATGCCGGCGACCAGTAAGTTCCGTTTAATAACCCCTGGTGAGCAGAATCTGACTCACGATCCGTAATTTGAGGACCCTCGAATTGATCGAAAAAGTTTCTATCACGTGAGAGAATATAGATATAACCAATAAAAGACAATACTAAACAAACGACAAGTGTTGATGCCTTCAAAATGAGATTTTATTTGACATTCCAGAGACAAACAGAATACGACCAACAGGCAAAGCGTCTACAAACCGAGTACGAACAGCAGGCCAAGAGAGGACAACCAGATTACGACCAGCAGGCGCAAAGAGGACAGCCAGATAACGATCAGCAAGCGCAGAGAGGACAACCAGATTACGACCAGCAGGCGCAACGAGGACAACCAGATAACGACCAGCAAGCGCAGAGAGGACAACTTGACTACGAACAGCCTGCCAAAAGAGGACAACCAGACTACGACCAGAGGGCAAAAAGACTACAACCCGATTATGAACAGCAGACAAAAAGAGGACAACCAGATTACGACCAGAGGGCCAAAAGAGGACAGCCCGATTATGAACAGCAGGCAAAAAGAGTACAACCCGATAATGACCAGCAGGCCAGGAGAGGACAACCCGATTTTGACCAGCAGGCCAGGAGAGGACAATCCGATTATGACCAGCAGGCCAGGAGAGGACAACCCGATTACGACCAACACGCCAGGAGAGGACAACCAGATTACGACCAGCAAGGGAAAAGGATGAAGATGTCGGATGTTGTGAAAGAGGATGCAAAAGATGCCAAGCTCGTGAGTATATATTACTTTAAGTACTAACTCACACTATACAAAACAAAAACTACTCTATGTCAAAGGTCGTGAGTAGACTTTAAGTACTAACTCACACTATACAAAAACAAAACTACTCTGTCAAAGGTCGTAAGTAGCGGTATACAATACCTTAAGTACCGTCTCACTCTTAGCTTTACATACCTCGGCAGCATCATTGACATACAAGGAGGGACGGTCGCCGACATAAGATTGAGAATTGGCAAGACGAGAACTGCATTTAACGAGCTAAAAAAGTCTTGAGCTGCAGCAACTTGACCCTCCAGACCAAGGTCAGGATATTCAACACCACAGTGAAACCTGTCTTGCTATATGGAGCAGAAACATGGCGAACAGCAGCAGCTGGTTCAAAAAAGCTACAGACGTTTATCAACTCATGTCTCCGAATGATGTTATGAATCCGCTGGCCCAACGGCATCACCAACGAGGATCTCTGACGGCGCACACAACAAGAACCAGTGAAAGAGTTCGTCTGCCAGCGCAGAGGGAAATGGATTGGTCACACCCTCAGAAAGCCACATCCAGTATCACGAGACAAGCCCTCACTTGGAACCAGGGCAAGAGAAAAAGAGGTCGACCCAAAACGACTTGGAGAAGGGAACTGGAGGCAGAGACCAAAAAGAGTGGGCACAACTGGGGACACCTGGAGAGACTGGGTCAAGACCGGGATGCCTGGAGAGCCTTTGTTTGTGGCCTATGCCCCAGACGGGACGACAGGCGATGATGATGACTGTCTCACTCTATACATTTAGCTTAGCGTACAAGAAGTCAGTTGCAATATCTTTTTATAAACACTGCTTTACACTAGGTCTGAGCCGGGTTCAGGGATTTTTAATTTTTTTTAAAAATTGAATGTAACTGGTATATTGAGATTGATTGTAGGCAAAAAATAAGATAAGACTACTCCGATGATTGTAATAAGACTACTCTAATGATTTTAATAAAACTACTCCAATGATTGTAAATAATAATAAACATTTCGTCAGGCGACCCCCAAGGGGGATCATGACCCATTTGTCGAGAACCACTGGCATAACCCATAAATACAATAAACAGAACAGAAAGCAAACATGAAGCCGAGCTTCGCCATAAGCGTTTGTGGCCCTGGTCGATGATTGAAAGCAATTTTCATTTCTCTTATACCAACGAGAAACCATTTTTAAAAAAAAAATACATCTTCAAATCATCATGGCGGTCACATCCTGGATTTAATTAAATACGGGCACTAGCTTCGCGTATTAAATCAGTGTTCCATCACGTTACCATCATTGAATGCTATGAGAGAGCTTAGAAATGATCCTCGACACACACAAACTTTGGCTACTCAGTACCCTTAACATCAGCCCGTCAGCATGTGAAATGAAACATTAATTATACATAGAAATTGTCATGGTCACAACCAAAGATATGCATCTTACTAAGACAAATAATTGCACAAAACTCGCAGCAAATACATCATTATTTTCAGAGATGTCCAGTTTCATTTAGCTTAGTTCCGCCCCCCTGCTAGTCAGTTTTCAATTATTATTTAATTAATCATGGTCAAAGGTACACATATTATGTAACAAAAAGTTGTACTGTCCAATGCGTACACTTTTCATTTCTTCTTTTATGGTGGAACACAGTATAGCCAATGAAAATGTACCTTTTTTAACATTCTAGAGTCGAGGTATATGCCGGGTGTGCTAATATTATCCGGGTATCGTGGTCAGTAACCGGCCCAGCCCTACTTAAAACACGGGCTGGTCTTTAATCTTGAGGGACATCGGACAGAGTTGCCAATGTTTTTCAATACTTTCGTCAAGATAGAATAGTTCATGGGAAGTATCATGGCATTCGCTTGATGCCATTGGACATGTCATTTTAGAAAATTTTGAATCATGTTACAATTAATCTGAAATATTGATTGTCTTCTTTACCAGAATGTACATTTCAATAAGGCTATTGAGCCCATTCCGTCTGGCTTGTACCACTCACTTATCGAGATGTCCGCCAGGCTGAAGAGAAGATCACGTGAGCTTAGCCGGGCATCACGTGACCTTAGCCAGCCACCACGAGCTGTCAAACATAAAAGTATGATCCCCGTGCGTTCGCCGCCAAAACGAACGGCAGGTTCTCAAAACAAGGACGCGGGCCACCGACAGAAAGAGGCCACGTCTGCGTCTCAAGTGAAGGAAAGAAGTCATCAAGATCAAGTAGACGTGAAGCAAGAGAAGCCGAAGGGAGAAGGAAGCTACACCATCCCGCAAAAACACCAATCGAATTCACGTCCCGAGAAATCAGAAGACGCGCTCAAACACGGAAGTAGCGACAACGAGGTTCCGACGAACTTTCACAGAAACAGACTCAGCTTCACCTCGTTCAAGGATAACCGGACAGCGGCACAGCGGCGAAACAAGTCGGCACCTCACGGCAGCCCGGAACCCGTCACAAGAAGTAAACAAATCAAAGCGGAGCCGAACCAGATAGAGTTAAGGCCGATGGTGGCATCACCGCGACCCCAAACAGACAACGACTTGGAGGCTGGCCCAAGAGACGTGCGAGAGAAAAGCACGGATAATAAGACCGCAGTAAGAGATACGAGAAAGGATGCATTCAAGAACTTGAAATACACCGGCATGTTAAAAAAGTCGCCTAGCAAGAAAGCGAGCCCATCCCGGGGAGCTACGCCTTTGGACAAAAACAAAGTCCAGACCAGCGTACCGAGGGGAAGTAACAGGGAGCAAAAAAGTGTCGTACTAAGAGCCAGCCCAAAGCAGAAACTGGTTGTAGATAAACCAATGCAAATATCAAGGTGGTCGGGGGTGGTTGTAACGGACGGCATGGACAAACCGCTCAGGCCGAGACAGCCGATCAAGTCGCCGGTGAAACTTAACGCCGTCAGATTGCGAAAGCCTCAGGGTAAGATCCAAAGACGAGATTCCATGCCCGCCAAGCCGGTAGCGCCGGCAGTGAAATTGGAGTCGTCTCCCGCGAGGCAACCGTTCTCAAAGCAAGATCCTACTCGGAAAAGGCCTTCAGGTACTATGGCCGGCCTACAGAACAAAGAGCCTTCGACCCAGCTCAAATCAAAAAGTGCCTCACCGCAATTCGACGGCGTGTCGAACAAAGAACTACCATCAGGACACAGCCCACAGACAGCAGTTTCCGCTAAGACGGCATCCCGAGCGCTCTCACCGCCTCAGAAAAAGAAAGTTTCCCCGGCTGGTTCGGTTATGTCTAGCAGTTACAACAGCCGAGTGTCAAACGACAGCATACGCAGCCCACTCAACTCTAAGAAGCGCGTGGGGAGCTCGGCCAGTTCAGCAAAAGGAAAACCCCCTTCATCGATGGAAAGTGCGAAGCAGCGACTGAGCGCCAAACAGAAGTTAATGCACAGGAGTACGTCAGTGCCTTGTAACAGTTTGTCGCCCATCGCCAGCGTCGAATTTCAGTCGGGATCAGATTCTCAACTACCCGGTAAGGTCATTTCTATCAAGTCAGTATCACCGATCGACAAGAAGCTTTGGTCAAAGTCGCCTGTTAGGAAAACGCCAGCTACATCCCCTGAAATATCGAGCGCTAAAAGAGCGCGCCTTAGGAAAGATCGCTTGGGGAGGTCCTTAGCTAATCAGAGAAAGGAGAAAAAAATAGCATCGTTTGCGTCGGAATTCAATGACTTGGCGGCGGGTGAACAATCGTCCTCCTGTGATCGAAGCAAACCAAGTTCACGTAAAGAACAGATGCCCGTGAGACAAGAGATAACTCGTCCGTGCTCCCCATCGTCAAAGAGAAAAAGATTTGACGTCGAGACGGTCTTTAAACATGAGAATCCAACGAGGCAAATTGCCTACTCGCCGGAAAAGAAATTATCTCCGGTTGAAAAGCCAGATGTGAAAGCGAGGCGTATGCGAGACCTGATCGAGAGGAGGCACTGCTCCTCGCCTGATAGAACACGCAATGTGACAGCGGTGCAGCATCACAAAGAGGCACACATCCCCTACGGACACAAGGTGCGACGCCACGGCCACCACTGCTGCAGGGGCGTTCACTTGGTTCATGACGGAAGGAAGAGGAGGTCGAACCGAGTTCACAGAGCGAGAATTTTCACTTCAGACCGAATGCGCCCAAAGCGATGTCTGCACAGTTGCCGGCTCGGCAAACACGGCTACAAGACGAACACGAAACTTGTGCCTCACAGAATGAGGTTGCGACCGGTCTCCAAACTTACACACCGAGGCTGGAACGAAAGCGACACCGATTACTCTGAAATAAAACACGCCCGCCGCAGACGCAAATACGCCTTGCATCTCGGGCACGCCGCTGACGACCTGACCTCCGACAGCTGCTGCTACACCTACGACTTTGAGCCCAACAGCGGCGAGTACAGCACCGAAGATACGGATACCGACTCCCCGTACGTCTTCTCCGACAACGGCGACGTCTCGGAATTGATGGATTCCACGTATTCCGATTGCTGCGAGTTCGAGCCCCGAGGCTCCCCCCCGTTGAAGCAGAGGGACGCCGTTCAAGTGACGTGGAACATGAGTGAATCTAACGTACCCGTTCATTCTTCAACGTACACGGCCCTCAGGCGATTCCCGGAGAAACGCGTCGATTGTAAATATAACCCAGGGGCCAGGTTCCGCCAAAATCTCTGCGGAGAAAGAGGTGTCGCTAAAAGTAAAGATCCTGACAGAGTGGCCAGACAAGGTTCGGTGCCACTCAAGTACAAAGCTCCGCCAAGACTTCAAAGACACAAAACGACACTTCAGTCGACACAGCAGCCGGTCTTCACGCAGAAACCCACGACGGATGACCAGCCACGTGAGGGTCAGTTCAACTCTGACCATTTCACCGCGTCCAGCTCCGACCTGATCGAAGGTGATCGCGTACGGAAACCGGAGGTGAAAGCCGACGGTTACCAAGGAGGGAACCGAGGAAATGCGGTGATGGACGAGATAGAGGCGGAGATGGGTGATGTACTGGACAGCCTCTTCCAGTCGCAGTACAACATCGCTATCAGAGTGGAAGCCCTGAAGGAAGACCTCATGCGGCAGGTGGCGAGACTCCAAGCCCCGCCCAAACCAGTGAGTTTTGTTAACGAGCCAATAGCGCGACCTGTGGCCAAGTGGGCGGGGACTTACTATGACTACATTATGATGGTCGGGTTTATGGTCGTGCAGTTTGTCTTTCAGTTTGTAATTGTGAGAAAATACTAGCGAAGACACAACATAAAACAGATATGTTCTAGAAGTCTGGAACAATCAAATATCGCAAAGGAAGTCTGGAACAATCAAATATCGCAAAGGATCTTCTCTAAGTTCTATTTATAGAATAGTGTATATTTGATAGAGTATTTTACGACCCATTTCAAAGGGTTTACACTGGTATACAACCATCATTAACAATTAAAGAGAATTAAAACAATCTTTTAAAAAAGCTTACTTTTTTCTTTTTGAATGTGTGATCTGCTGCCTTCAGTAAGGTCTTCATAACCTGGCTGGTTTCTGTGTTACATTCATACATGGATGGTCTCATGGTTACAGCTACATTGTTGGTCCTTGTGTTACATTCATACTTGGATGGTCTCATTGTTACAGCCACATTGTTTGTCTTTGTGTTACATTCATACATAGATGGTCTTATTGTTACAGCCACATTGTTGGTCCTTGTGTTACAGCCATACTTGGATGGTCTCATTGTTACAGCCTAATTGTTACTCTTTGTGTTACATTCATACATGGATGGTCTCATGGTTACAGCTACATTGTTGGTCTTTGTGTTACATTCATACATGGATGGTCTCATGGTTACAGCTACATTGTTGGTCCTTGTGTTACATTCATACATGGAAAGTCTCATTGTTACAGCCACATTGTTTGTCTTTGTGTTACATTCATACATAGATGGTCTTATTGTTACAGCCACATTGTTGGTCCTTGTGTTACATTCATACATGGATGGTCTCATTGTTGGTACCTGTGCTGCATCCATACATGGATGGTCTCAATGTTGGTACCTGTGTTGCATCCATACATGGAAGGTCTAATTGTTGGTACCTGTGTTGCATCCATACATGGATGGTCTCATTGTTGGTACCTGTGTTGCATCAATACAAGGGTGGTCTCATTGTTGGTACCTGTGTTGCATCCATACATGGGTGGTCTCATTGTTGATACCTGTGTTGCATCCATACAAGGGTGGTCTCATTGTTGGTACCTGTGTTGCATCCGTACATGGGTGGTCTCATTGTTGGTACCTGTGTTGCATCCATACAAGGGTGGTCTCATATATTTGTTAGTTTAAAAAAAAAAAGAAGATTCTTTTCATTATGGAATAAGACAATTTGAATGTTAAAGAAACATTAAGCTTTTAAAAGCTTAATACCGATACAGTTGAATAATGCAATGTCTCTTCAGTCATTCTATACTGATAATTAGGCAAGGAGTATTTCTATGAAATCCATATTCTATGATAATATTTACATTGAAAAGCAAATTTTTTTGTTTCAAATAAAGGAATTGGAAATATATACAGGCAATAAATGACATTTCAAAAAAATAAATAAAATCATCACTTAAAAAGGGCCAATACACAAAACTTACATTTTAATTTGAATCATTTCACCAAAATGTTAAACAATTTATCTTTAGAAAAAATGTGATTGTTTATTTGAATGTTTGCCATGCCAAGCCAATCAAGGACAAGTCAATGACTCAACTAAACTTGGAGTGAACATTCAGAAATAGATGCAGACATTTGGTGAACGTGCAACAAAGTGAACAATAACATTTGAATGACACTTGAACATTGGGAGAGTTTAAAAAAAAAAAAGACAACTTTTATTTGAAATTATTAAAAAAAACAAAGCCTGCCAAGCAGTGAAAGTTAAAAAGAAATTGGTCAATGAGTCTCAACTTGTGGAGGATTGAGCCCATTATTCATTGGACCATTTAAGGCCAAAAAACAAAGGTCTGACTGTAGGTTCTTGGAGCTCAATTTTCTAGCAACTGTTACTTCCCCTCCAGACCATTTAAATACAGTTTAATTACAGGATATGCTTTTTGACTACTTCTAGAAATCCTTAAATTTAGAGGTTCCCTTTTCAGCAATTGTTGCACAAACAGCTTCAAACATGTCCTTAACTGTCAGAAACAGCTTCAAACCTGTCCTTTACTGTCACATCTATTGTTGCACAAACAGACTTAAACATGTCCTTAACAGTCACAGCAATTGCTGCACAAACAGCCACAAACATGTCCTTAACAGTCAAAGTAATTGTGACACAAACAGCCACAAACATGTCCTTAACTGTAACAGTAATTCTGGCAAAAACAGCCACAAACATGTCCTTAACTGTCACAGTAATTGTGGCACAAACAGCCACAAACATGTTCTTAACTGTCACAGTAATTGTGGCACAAACAGCCACAAAAATGTCCTTAACTGTCACAAATAGCTTCAAAATGTCCTTAACTGTCACAAACAGCTTCAAACATGTCCTTAACTGTCACAGCAATAAATAGTTGAAATGTTTACAAATGACAAAAAAAAAAAAAATTTCATTATCAAAAACAATGAGTGGTAAAAAAAGGGTCAGACTTTTGCCACTGACCAGTTCTATGAAAATGTTAAGTTTGTTTTTTTCACAGCTATTAAAATCAATGACATCATTTGATAGTTTCAATGTCAGCAACTAAATGTGTCTTAAATTGGAAGACCTTTACTGAAATATAAGACAGGAAGTTAGATCTTTCTTGGTTCCCTATTTTCATGATCTTTTGACCCTGTCAACATTACTCAATAATTGCTGAAGCAAGTTATTGGCATGGAATTGTACAGTTGGGTCATGGAATAAATGCAATCAAGACTGAAACTGTATCTTTTGAACATATTTGGTAAATCAAGATTTAAATGATTGAACAATATTTGAATTTTACATTATCTTATGCCTAATTCACATATAAAGATAATAATGAAATGATGAATAGTCTACAAAAGTCGTGGCTCACATAAATTTGTAGTAGACACACTGCAAACAGCAGACAGACTGCAAACAGCAGACAGACTGCAAACAGCAGACAGACTAAAAACAGTTATTCGGCATACCAAGTTTGACTTTATTGAAGAATTGCTCAGGCAAATATTGGATGGAAAAGGAGTAAAAATAATTTCAGAACTCGACAAAACAACAATTCAATATTTGTTTTCTAGTACGAAGATCCAACATTTGCAAGTGTAAGGTAGTTATTTGATCACAAGGCTGAACGCAATAAAATTTAAATACATATCATAGTTTTGTCATATACTAGAAAATAAAATTAGAATAATGGTATAATTTATATGTTAAACACCATATAAGAAGTGCTAAGTAGTGTAAATAAGTGCATGGTAACTGTAAATGTATATCATATCATAAACGTTTGTGTTGTTCCAATATAGAGGAAAAGCACAGCTGTGCTAATAAGGAACTTCTGAGGGTATTACAAAAACAAAACACAATTATCATTTTTAAAACACGTCAATGATTGTATATGCCATAAAATGAATTAATTACAATTAGAAGATAAATATATTGCTCTTGTCATGTCAGCACATGCACAATGGAAACAACGCAACTACAGACAATGGTAAGTATACAGCCAGTGAACACAGCTTGTATTTTAATTGGAGACAAAAGTGTAGGTTTATGGCAGACCAGTGCAGATGAAACCAAGTACAAGCTTCCATTTCAAGGGTGGACAAGAACATAGAACACACAAGACTAGTCAAAGAGACTGCAGTTTTTTTTGTACAGCTTTACATCTTGACCGGTGAACATCAACAGGGACATTGGCTTGATGGACTTAGAACTTGATGGCTGGGGACATTTGCTTGATGGACTTAGAACTTGATGGCTGGGGAGGGGAGCTGGCATTCATTCCATCAGTTTTTCTGTAAGTAGTAAGGTCAACTACGAAATGGGGACATTCTCTCCCCTGTGCGATGGTTGTCTCCCTTGTGTGCGACCAGCGTTGCGAATGTAATGTTGTGTGCTCATGGTGAGTTACCAAAAATAAGATTGGACTTATTCTAGCCCAGATTTGTGTGACTGACAGGAAGATGATTTCACTGTGCTACAGTAAGAAAAATTTCAATGACAAGAATTACCATCATAGACACACATAGGGGAATGGCGCAACTAGGACCTCATGGGGATGGGTGGTGACACAATTAGGGTTGTATGTGGAGTCCTGGTGGTATAAATAGGGTTGTATGGGGATGGGTAGTGACATAATTTGGGTTGTAAGGGGAGTAGTGGTGATATAAATGGGGATGTGGAAAAAAAGGGGGGGGGGCAAAACAAAAGAATTCCAAATCCTCAAATCCAAACTCGGGTCTCTTTAATTTGTCGTGCATTTGTGTAAATCTGACCCTTGACAAGCACAGGTACTATAGTAAGGTTTAGCAGAGACCAGAGGGAAACATGGTTTCAAAGAAGAGTTTGATTTATAAGTGGATTGACTCAAATCGAATGAAAAGTGCTATCATGAATCAGAATAAAAGGCACTTGTCCAGGGCTCAGTCATAAGTCAATGAATCAGTTAAAGATAAGTCAAGAAGCTGAAATGTAATTTTTGGTATGAAACCCTCTAAAACCATCAAGTTTGTTCATCTATGAACTTACACCTTAAAGTGCAACCCACACTATTGCTGTAACGTAGAGATTGTTTAAAGACATTATTTAATGAAGGTCATGCTAATCATCAATTCATCTGAAGACATAGTTTTGTTTTAAAGATCATTAGATTACAAACCAGCTATAAGGTGGTTCAAGGTAATAAACATTTTTTATTCCAATCAGATCATTAATTGTCAGCACACCCATTAGAATTAAAATCCTCATTTTAACATAGATCAATGCTGAACACATATCTTATTCAGCCACTGGCAGATTTCTAGTATGTAAAAGCTGCACAGACATTTGACACAGAAAACTAACAGAGTTCAAAAAGATTCAACAAACCATCCAACTAATGTCAATGTTAACCCCTACATCTTTCCATAACAGAGGTTCTAACATTTTTGGGAATGCTCCAATAATGGCAATACAAAAAAGATAGATTAGATATAAATACATTTGTTTTAATTCAACACAGAAGTTTATGTTTTTTATATAGTAATGAATGTTTAGGTGTCTCCCCCCACCCCCCCAAAAAAAAGTTAAAAATAACTCTCAGCAATACGAGACCCAGCTGACATTAGATAACATTTTAGTTGTATGTGTCAACATTTCATTGACCCAACTAAGATTAGATAACATTTTAG